CACCTCTCGAGAATCCGCAGTTATTAATTCAACATGAAGAAGGCTGCTGGGGCAATGGGCAAACTTAACTGCCCGGAGTCAGCAGGCCGGAGGGGTAGCCGCGGTTCCGTGCAGATTCGCTGGGGACCACAAATCTCATCTTCAGGCTGAACTTACCCTCATGTCAGACCACAGGGTTGAATCTGGAGATCTTTTAGGCTGGAAGAGTAAATATCAATAAGCTTCCCGCACACTCTTTCAGGACCCTTCCAAAAACTTGATTTTGTGTTTTGAATACTTAGGCTATCGCCTCCAAAGACTTTTAAGTGGGTTTTGTTATATATATTTCGACAGTATTATGCTTCGGGGACATTCAGGATCGCTCTTTTCCAGAGATTCGGAGGGTGGGGAATGAGCTGTGGAAGTGGAAGTGAGGATTAAGGTAGTTATAAAGGTAAGATGCTGCCTAGCAAAAGGAAAAAGGTGAGGGAAAGGTGAAGGGAGTATTTTGATATTGGATTAATTATCCTAAGGGGACTTTATGTATCCCAAGAACAGTTGGACATTTCTGAATAAATTTAGCATAATTTTCTCCCAATAAAACATCTTGTATTCTCCCTCTTCTTGTGTGACTATTGTTCAGTTGGGTTCTCCAGTCAGATTTGCTTCAGAGTGAAAGTCACATCTGAGGAATGGACAGACTTTAACACTAGAGCCAACTTAATAGTTTTTTAATATCTCACGATCAGGTTAGCTCACTAAAAGTAAGGCAGATTTTAAGTTGAAAATACTTTCTATTAGTCACTTTCCAGTGAAAACTGGGTTTAAAATCAAGATCCCAATTTACATCTCTGTGAGAATGGGTACCTCTTGTTACCAAGAAGAAATACCATTAAGCTAAAAGTTATTTGAAAGGAATTAAGAGCAAAAGGCCCAGAATAACCAGAAGGTAGACTGTTAGAGCAGAAGAATTGGTTTTAAAGATTGTATAGTAAAATCCAAAAGTTTAAATAAGTCTTCCGTTGTCTAGCTTAAAAACTCAGTGAAGAAATACTGTTCTCACTTTTGAATGTTGAGAGCCTTTGTTTTAAGCCATTTTAATTGTTTAGGTAAGTTTCATCCCCAAACTAATATTTAAGTTTCTTAACAAAACCTAAATCTTTTTTGCTCATGGGATGGATGTCTATGATCTTTGAGTACCAAGTCGGGAAGCTTCTGGGTGCTAAACTGACAAACTCAAATGTATGCTTTGCCTTTCATGGTTTTTATACTCCACTGGGAACTAAAAGGGATATTTGTGAAATATATTTAGCTGTTAGAACCAATTCAAATATAGCTTTGAAGAAAGGCTTTAAAAAAATCTTCGAAATTATTTTAAAAATTAAAAAAAAATCTTAGCTAACACTTGGCTGTAAGTTAGGGGAATGTGAATTGGCCCTAGTTATATTCTTAAACAAGGTACAAAACTCTGAGTAGGCCTCTTATCTCTTTGGACCTCATTTTACATCTTCAGTATAAACTGAAGATGTTGTGTGAGATAATTGAAAGGTTATCAGACTTAAAATTCTGTGATTCTTATAGGGACCTTATGTTATCTAGTTGAGGATGCTTGGGAATTGTGTATCTTGATAAAAAAGCTGAGAAAGCCTTCTAAGTCAAAATTTCATATTAATCCTCTAAGTATACACTTTAAAAAAAAGTAAATTAAATAAATACATTTGAATGTAATTAAAGTAGTAACATAAACCAAAATAGCCTTAGGCAAACCTTAACCCTGGCATACATAAACTACATAAATAGAAGAGCAAGTTATGCAGAGCACAATTTTCAAGTACAGAAGATAGAAAATCCTCTTAAAGCCATAGGGGCTAAATTGTTAAATTCATTTTTCTACATTTCAGGGAAAGAGATAAACCCTCAGGCCCAAGGAAGTCAGTTTTTATTATATTTCTTTTAGTTTATTTTTGGCATACACTCACAGGTGTGCCTATGGCTCTATTCTTAATCCCTTTCCTTTGGGATGGCTCCAAGAGTAGTACAAATTTGTAACTCTGTAATTTAGCTCTTTAATTTTTTCTGTGCTGTGCCGGAATTATGTTTTATCTTAAGTCCACACTGGATCCTCAGGATGGATCCAGTGAGGATTTTGAGGGAAGCATAATTCCTTTGACTTCTTTTAGAATTAATTTACCTATTAAATGAAAAGGAAAGGATTCATCTTTTATTTGAATTCCTCTGAGGCTAACATTTCAATATAAACTGATAAATGCTATGAGCATTATTATTCAGACAGCCACATTCAACTTGTATGACTGCAACTGCATAGCCACCTGAAAGACAGTGTAAGAAGGAAACAGGTAAAAAAAAAAAAAAAAATGTACCTTTTAGAAGAAAAAAGACATTAAAAGTTTATTTTCTCCTATCTTTATTGATATATTGTAATTGACAAATAACATTGTGTAAGTTTAAAGTGTTCAACATAATTTGACATTCATGTATATGATTACCACATTAAGATTAGTTAACACATCAATCACCTCACATATTTCCTTTTATTTTTTTTTTTCAGTAAGAACATTTAAGATCTGTTCTCTTAGCAGATTTCAAGTATACAGTACAGTATTGTTAACTCAGAACTTACTCTTTTTAAAAATCTAGCTTTACTGAGGTATAATTGATATACAACATTGGCAAAGTTTGGGATATACAATAAAAATTGGTGTGTTTTTTTCCATCAAAAATTTTTTATCTAGAGGCCCAGTGCATGAATTCGTTCATGGGAGGATCCTTCTGGGTGGCCTGCAGGGATCAGGCCGAAACCCTGCAGTCTACCACCACCTGCAGCTCTTATTATACCTGCCTCCTGCTCATCCTGGCCCCACTGAGCCTGCTGCAGGCTCGCATCCAATCAGTCCTGATCAGGAGAGGCTTGCTGCCACAGCAGTGCTCACCAGCCATGAGTCCTGTGTCTGGTGCCCTCCTAAGGGGAGTGGCCTGCCGGATGGGGCTGAAACTAACTCTCTGACATCCCCCAAGGGGTTCTGCATTGAAAGAGGGTGCAGGCCAGGCCGAGGGACCCCACTGGTGCAGGATTGGGCCTGGGAGGGACCAATGGAGATTGGACAGGGGGGAGGGACCATAGGAGGGCTCCAGGGTATGTCTGGCCCATCTCACTCAGTCCTGATCCATTGGCCAGACTTGAGCAGCAAGCTAACATATGGGTTGGAGTGTTTGCCCCCTGCTGGTCAGTGCATGTCATAACTACTGGTCAACTGTCTGCACTCTGGTAGCCAGTGCACATCATAGCGAGCTGTTGAGCGGCCTTAGCGTATAATTAGCATATTATGCTTTGATTGGTTGAACAGTCAACTGGACGACTGGATACTTAGCATATAAGGCTTCTATTATATAGGATTCTTGAAGTCAGCTGGTTTTATCACCAGATCTACCTTAAGAACACCCTGACATTTTTCGGTAGAGAATTGGTAATCTAAGAAAATGACTAGTCTTTCTAAATTATATCTGTATAGATAAAAGGGGAGTAGAAAGAATAAATTATCATTGTTATTATTCTCTAGGCTGTCCCTAGTTTTTGAACAAATGACTTCTTTTTCCAGAGCTCTCATTTAGATCAGGATTCTATCAGTACCTAATTGAAGCATCTACTGTATAGATTTTTGGTTGATGATATGAGAATAGTTGGAATAGTTGGACATAACTCCAGAATCTATCCCATCATAATTTTCTTACTTTAGGTACTTATTAGACATCATGGCTAAGAACAAATGCCTGATCATTTATTCATCCTATATTAATTTAACAGACATTTATAGAGATCCTGGTAAAATATCAGTTACTCTGTTGGGTTTTGGGGATCCAAAATTATATAATTACTGCCCTCCTGGGGTATATGATCTGTGCTTGTAGGAGATTTACTTTAAGTTAGTAATTAGAAATATGGTGTTTTGAAAGTGCTATGGAAGCCTATGAAGGGGCCATTTAATTTAATCTGGTGAGTCAAGGAAAGCTTCCCTGAGAAGTGATGCTTAAGCAGAGTTGAAGGATGACAGGATTTAATATGCTCACTATCTGAAAGTAAAGTTCTTCCAAAGCTAAGAGTTTTACCTCAGTTTCAGGTCTTGAGTAACTTTATATTTTATACATATCTTTTAGCTGGCACAGGTTTATCATATATATATATATATATATATATATATATATACACACACACACACACACACACACACACACATACAGTTAAGGATTAGAAAGCCATGAGATTATTTTTATAATTGGGAATAGAAATCTACACAAAAACGGTAAATAAAATTGTTACCCATTATAGATGTTAGTCATAGCTGAAGTAATATTTCTATATGAGAATGTGTGCCAGAAAAGATGAAATCCAGAACCAAGGAGAAGAGGTAGAATGGATGGAATAGTGAGAATTACATAAATGTATTTGTGATTTTGGAGAGAAAGTATTAGGTATCTGAGGCAGTGGATCACAACCTTCTTCTTTCTTTTCAACATACCTGCAAAATACATCATTTTCTTTAATAACTATAACTCAATTTGTTGGTAGTAATTTTCATTTGGGAGAGGTGGGCATTTAGAGTAGGTTATAATTGGATTTAGAAATCCTTGCGGGGGGGGGAAGGGTGTTCTAAGAGAAAAAGGTATTTTAAAAAAAAATCCTTACCCAAAGGTATGTTTTTATTGATTTTTAGAGAGGAAGGGATGAGGTGAAGAGAGAAGCATCTTGTGAGAGAGAAACATCAATCATTTGCCGCCCATAGGCATCCTGACTGGGGCTTGAACCCGTAACCTTTTGGTGTCTGGGCCGATACTTTAAGGATCCTAGGCCACATGGCCAGGGTGAAAAAAAGGTGTTTTAATATGTTATTGAGAAAAATGATAGCCTTTGTATAGAAGTTAGCACTAAACAGGCATGACCTGAGTTTTAAAAATACCTTCTTTGTATGACTTTCTCTTTTACAGCATCACCGTTACAGACTTTCATGATGTTTGGTGGTTATGAGACTGTAGAAGCATATGAAGATGACCTTTATCGTGAAGAGACATCTAGTGAACTGAGTGTTGATAGTGAGGTGGAATTTCATCTCTACAGCCAAGTTCATTATGCTCAAGATCTTGATAATATCATCAGGGAGGAGCAACATGAAGAAAAGAACTCTGGGGATTCTGAATCCTTTAGTAGTAAGCAAAATCAAAAGAACTTAATTATCCTTTCAGATAGTGAGATCATCCAGGTATCAGATGGGTCAGAAGTTATCACTTTGTCTGATGAAGATAGTATTTATAGATGTAAAAGAAAGAATTTTAAAGTGCAAGCAAAAGATAAGACGAGAGGTTCTCCTGCTTCTCTTCATTCTAATGAGTTGGATGGTAAGAAATGCAAGAGGAATATTAAGAAGCCTAAACTTGAAGAAAAATCAGGTATGATCCGAGAGGTTATGGTTATAGAAGTCAGTTCAAGTGAAGAGGAAGAGAGCACCATTTCAGAAAGTGACAACGTGGAAAGCTGGATGCTGCTGGGATGTGGAGTCGAGGATAAAGATGATGATATCCTTCTCAATCTTGTGGGATGTGATAACTCTGTTAATGAAGGTTAGTATCATGTTGGCCATTTTGAAAAGTAGCATCTTTAGAAGACGGTTTTCCTAGACAAGAAGGGTCTGCTCTATTTAATTCCTCACCTTCTGGTCGTGTTTTTTCCCCTTGTTTCTTGTGAGACTCACTTGCCAAAGGCTACTCTAATGGTGGGCTGTCTGAACATCAGAAAGAGTATGTCAAAATATCAAAGAAACTCTGCTTCTGCTCTAAGCAATTCCATAGCTGCTGCTTCCTGTTTGGCTAGAGCCAGTTCTTAACCTGAAATCTTAGTTTCCCTCTCTCTCTGCTCGATACCACAGGTGAGTAATCTATTCACCTCTGACATTGGTCCTGTGCTCTCATTCAGCCAACTCTGTTGGGTCTGCTGCTTCTTAAGTGATTTGCTTACCTAGGAGTTATTCAGGTAGCAAGCATGGGGAATGCTTGGTACACATAGGATATGAAATTAATATTAAGATTTTTTAACTCTAACCAGTTTGTCTCAGTGGATAGAGCATTGGCCTGCGGACTGAAGGGTCCCAGGTTCGATTCCAGACAAGGGTATGTACGGTGGTTCAATTCTGGTCAAGGGCATGTACCTTTGTTGTGGGCACATCCCTGGTGGGGAATGTGCAGGAGGCAGCTGATCGATGTTTCTAACTCTATCCTCCCTTCCTCTCTGTAAAAAAAAAAATCAATAAAATATATATTTTTAAAAAGATTTTAGGAATTCCACAATATGTAAGGTAGGAAACTGAAAAGCTGTAAGTGTACAATAGACTGTAGGAGAGAATGCAAATTCTGAGAACCACATCACAGGATTGAAATTTCAGTGTTAGCTTTGTCTCTTCTGTCATAACTAGTCATCTAGTATTGATACTTATCCTTTTAAAAAGTCCCTTTCATTTCTTACCTTTTATACCCAATGCCTAGCAATAGTTTCCTAAATGATTTTAAAAAAAAAATATATCTTCCCTGCACACTATATTGGTCCTGAAGTGCCCTTTTACTCATAATATTTTACTGTTGCTCCAAAACCTTTCCTGGTACCCACTTGCCCTCAGAGGAGTGATGATACTGAATGGAGATCATGCTCTGGAGCTCCAGAGATCAACAGACTTTATTATAAGAAGCCAGATAAGAAGTATTTTAGTCTACGGCCATACCACCCTGAACGCGCCCGATCTCGTCTGATCTCGGAAGCTAAGCAGGGTCGGGCCTGGTTGGTACTTGGATGGGAGAAGTATTTTAGGTTTCCAGACCACAGGATCTCCTAGCTACTTAACTTTGCCCTTGTTGTGGGCATAATACCTAAGAAATGAGATGGATGGTTGTTTGTTTGTTTATTTTAAGAGAGGGGTGGGGGCAAGAAGAGAAAAAAAGAGAAATGATGTGAGAGCTACACCTACCAGACCTGGGATGGTTATTTCAACAAAATCTTACTTATAAAAACAGGTGGTTGCCTCAGGCTATAAGAGGCCAACTCTGAGAATTTGTCAACAAAAGGAGGAGAAGAAATAGAATAGTACATAGAAATAGTATGTAGAAAAGAAATAAAACATAGAGCAAAATCAAGTAAAGTTTTGTCAGAATAAAGGAGATCTAATAATGTTTTTAGAAAGAAAAATTTTGAAGGAGAGATTATATCTGTTCGGTAGACTAGAGTCGGAGGGGCCAAATAAAAGATGAGTTCAGGTATAAATGTATGAATTAGTTTTAAAAGGGGAGAGACATCATTGATCACTAAATTATCAAATATTTGTAGAGAAGAGTTGCATTGTTTTGAGGATATCTTTTTATTGAGATGAAATTAACATAAAATTAACCATTTTAAAGTGCTCAGTTCAGTGGTTTTTAGTTAATTGGAAACGTAGAACCATTACATCTTTGTAGTTCCAAAACATTTTCACCACATCCAAAGGAAACACTGTACTTATTGAAGTCATTTTCTTTCCTTCCTCCTCACCCTGGCAACCACTAATCTGTTTCTGTTTCTATGAATTTACCTATCCTGGATATTTTACCTAAATAGAAGCATACAATACGTGATCTTTTGTGTCTGGCTTTCTCAGCATAGTATTTTGGAGATTTGTGCATGTTGTAGCAAATATCAGTTCTTCATTCTTTTTAAGGCTGAATAATATTCCATTCTGTGAATATACCACATTTTGTTTATCCATTCATTTGTTGATTGACATGTGGGTTATTTCCACCTTTTGGCTATTGTAAACAGTGCTGTTGTGAACATTCATATTTATTTGGAGACCTGTTTTGGATATTCTTTTGGTTATATACCTAGGAATGGAATTACTGGTATTTTTATGTTTCACTTTTTGAGGAATTACCTAACTATTTTTCACAGTGGCTGCACCATTATACTCCTACCAGTACGAGGATTCCGCTTAGCAGCATTGTTTTTTTATGATGACTTGTCTTGTACATTTCTATATGATTTGCACATTTCTAGTAATATTGGGCAGGCTCTTTGTTATTTTTTAGTCCTCCCCCCTCATTCTGTTTCATATAGCTGTTGCTTATGTTTTTCTAGAATAGCTTTTTTGCATAAAATTTCCTTATATGTTGCTATTCATGTATAGTTTTTAAAGAAACTTATTCATTCTTATAATTATGTATTCCTTTAAAGTTTAGTGTATGTGTATTAGTAAAAATGTTTAATATAAGACCTAAGTAATTCTTGATCCCAGACATTCAATGTATGCTTTTATTATCCATATTGACATTTATCCCTACTCTTTGCTCCTAGGAATTTTTAAAAATATATTTTTATTGACTTCAAGGAGAGAGAGAGATAGAGATAGAGCATGATGATGATGATGATAGAATCATTGATTGGCTGCCTCCTGCACACCCCACATCGGGTATTGAGCCCGCAACCCTGGCATATGCCCTGGTGGGGAATCTAACTGAGACCTTCTGGTTCATAGGTTGATGCTCAGCCACTGAACCATGTTGGCCTGGCTAGAATTTGTGTGGTTTATTTTGTTCCAGTCAAATGGAAACAAATTCTGCAGCCTGCAAATTAACTTGCTTGACTCTTACAAACTCTTACAGATATTCAAATATATATTCCTATTTTATTTCCTTGATCTGCTAATGCCATAATCCTATTTCTTCCCAGTTAGTAAGCAGTATATTTAGTGCTGATACCTATTTGGGTGTGTTGTTATTCTCTAATCAATATTATCTCATTCATAAATAGATCTGGGGAAAGGTCTGATTCAGTGTATAGAATAGTTTTTAGAGAAGATTTTTTCATGTTGGTGGAGTTTTGTGGAAATTCCAGCATACTTTTGAAATGATGATTTTTAAACAGCAGCAATTGCTAATTTGTGTACTCCTTTTCCTTCCCTCAACTCCCATCCCCAAACTATGGCATATTTAAAATATCAATAGGATATAAGAGAAGAGATTATAAACTCGTTGATGGCAGGTCTTTTCCATGCCAGTCTCTTTCTTTCTTAACCATGGGAGTTAAGTCTCTCAAAATCCTGGTGATAGATGTGGTTAAAAACTTAACTCTAAAAAATAGGAGTAGTGAATTTTAGGTAGTATATGAACATATGAAAGACTATATAAGTTCATACATATTTTCCATTTACTATTGTTAAATTTGTAGTAATGAGTACAGCACCACTCTTGCTCTGTGGATAATTAAGGCTTTCTCCTGCTATTTCAATTTCAGTGAGATGCTTACATTTGTTTTATTTTAATACACAATTAGAGATAATACACTGTCAGGCAAATAATACACAAGTCAAAGGCATTTTCCCCCCTTTCTGTTCTTCTTCCAGTGTTCAATACTTTTCTGATTTTGAATTTGTTGATTAGTTTCCTGAGGTTCCATTGAGGCCTTGGGGATGTAACATTTATGAATGTTCAGCCTAGCCTTCCTCAGTGTATAGTTTTATGATGAGGGCTTTGGCTATAATAAGCTCATGCCAAAACATAGACCTAAACTGCCCGTTAGTTACATCTGGCTCTTAGCTTTCTCTACTGAGGGATGTAGGAGTTTATTTCTAAGATCTAGGCTTCATTTTCTTTCCTTTCTTTACTCGTTCCTTTTTTATATAAACGATGCCTACTCTGTCATTTGTTTTCTTTTAAAAATTCTCACCCTTTATTTTCTTCCTTTTGTTGTCTTCAGTAGGATTGGCTTGCGATTCTCATGTTTTAGAAAGACAGGTTACCTGGTTGAAGAAAACATGCACCACAGGGAGTCAGCATGGTTTTTAGTTTGTGAGGATGATCTCAAGTTTGGGAAGGATGAGTGTATATGACAGCTAAATGATGCGGAGAGACATTAATGCTCTAAGAATTATAGAGGAATAATCAGCAACTTATTTTCCTGCATAGAGAAGGGATATTATTAGCTTTGGGAGTAATTGCTAACTCTTGGTTAATTTTTTATGGAAATTTTAAAGTATACAAGGATAGAATGTTATAATGGACTTATTATAGTATTCTATAAACCAGCTTCAACAAATTATCAACTTATAACCAATATTATATTTAACTCCATGCCCCTATAGTATTTTGAAGCAAATCACATACATCATTTCACTCATTGATATACATACATATATGCATTTTAGTACGTATTTTCCGGCGTATAAGATGACCTGGTGTATAAGACAACCCCCTAATTTTACAGTTAAAACATAGGTTTAGGCCTATATTCGCTGTATAAGACTACCCCCCACTTCCGAGGCAACACCAGTTCTTTTTTTAATAGACCGCCTCTCTGACTCTGGCCATTTTCGGTTGACTTTTTTTCCGGTTCAAAGGTCGTCTTATACGCCGGAAAATACGGGTATGTATTTCTGAAAGGTAAATATTTTTAAGAAATAATGATATGATTATCACACCTAAACAAATTCTCACTAATTCTTTTTTCATTAAATATAACTAGGGTCAGTGTTAAGATTTTCCCATTTGGCTCTTAATTTTTTTCCTTAAATTTTATTGGAATTAAATCTGTTGTAATTGGTTGGTAA